TATTTTCATTACAGTTTAATCTGTTCATTCTAATGTTGTTGTTTTTTCCTTAATTGACTACTCTACAAAAATGCATCTTCAAAAAGCTTTTGTCCAACCATCTAAAACCCAAAGATAACCACTTTATAGTTATATAATACAACGATTCATATGTTCACATTTGAGAAACCTGGAAATGTTGAGTTTTTTTTTTTTTTAACATGTTAACAGTTCTCTATAAAAACTGCATGTTGTTGATCTTCTCACAGTCAACTCATCAATTAATGTAGAACTACATTAGCGTAACTGTTTGCTGTGTTCACTGGAAACTACCTTTTCTGCCTCTCCACATAGGTATTTATGCAGCAGCATAAAAGCAGAAACTGCCAGCAGACACCATAACGTCAACTACAAGCAGATTAGCAGCAGAGCTGTAAAACAGCGGCACAAGCATGTCGAAATGTTACTTCAGTGTTATTGCCGAGCACAAAAATGCTACATTAACAGAGCCGAGACATTAACTAATTCTATGATTTCGTACAAATGGGCTGCAAATATTTTCCTTGCCTAAGTTCATCTGGGCTGAAGGACATGTTTGATACTAACCGACAGGTATTTCTTCAACAAAGTGAACCTGGGACACCATGATCAGACCGTTGGCAGAGGAGCTTGCCTATGAAATGTTACAGGAGCAGCAAGTGTTTGAAGCAGTGATCCTGCTGAATTAGCAATTTCACAATGCAGTAACATAGCAGAGCAAAACAGCAGGCAGATGTTTAACAGTTTAAATAAACCGCCTTATCAAATTGGTGGATTTGTTGTAAGTCAAGTACGTTGTGTGACATTAGTAGGTGAGTTTGTCTGCCTCAAGTAGCTCGCAGCTATGTAACACATGTAGCTTCTATATATTCTGAAAATTATTTTACTGGATGAAATTTCCAATGTGGCACTATTTCTCACTATCACTGTATTACACCCAAAGTGCAAGAGGAAAATGCAAGTTATAAATCTTGCAAAGTAAGATTAGTGGAAGAGCTAAGGCGATGTGGACATACAGAACAGGATTAACTTTACTCATATAGTATTAAGACTTTTGTGCCAGGTTTGCCTTTTTACATAAACTGATTAACTTGAAACATTAATAGAAAGACACACTAATGGCTATACAGATTTAATTTACCGCATAGAACCGCACGCACACTGAGGTTCCTAACCATGTGAAAAAAGTTTTGTTGCACTTTCTCTTATTGGAAACAGTTTGTAGAACTCCTGTCCAGACACAATTCTCTGTATCCCATTTTCAAGAATACCCGAGGGACGCAAGCAATATCCTGTTCCAGTTATTAAACTTTTGACTTTGGGGTAAAATCCAGTCTTGACTAATAGGACTACTCAGGAATCATTGCAGAGATTTGTATGTGATAATGAGAAATAGAGGTGCAGTCCCAATTCATCCGGCCTTCTCACCTCTGGGTGTAACTTGTAATTACTCCTGTGGAGCTTTGGGGAGGTTGGCAGATTAAAAAGGAGTTGCCCTGAGGCCGACTGGCTGGCCAGTTAGTCAGTCAGGCAGTCACCGAGCCTCTCCTGAAGCGACACCAACTCCCTGGATGACAAGAATGTCAATGCACCTCTCAAGGTGACACCTGGCCGGACACATTCTTCGAGTCTTGTGGTAAAATCACTCAAGAAATAAAGTACCTACAGTATATGACTGACACCAGTGTGTGCGAAAAATGTTCAGAGATGAATCTTAATTAAAAGTTAAAACATATAATATGCAGTGGTGGAAGGTAGGTTAAGGACTACTGTGAGTCTATCTATTTTTGTTACTGTTACACCAGTGGGACCAGTGGTGCGTGAGGGGGTCCCCAAAAAGAGGGGAATGTTTTTCAATATAATTTTTTAGAGCCCGACCGATATGGGATTTTTGAGATTGATACAGATTTTAGAGAGGAAAAATCCACATCTTACCGATAAGGCGGCCAAATAGATTTGTCCTGTGCAGATTATGCACCGATAAGACTATGCAAACATACTCAGAAGGCTGTCTTCTTAAACAAATAAGTTTATCATTTAAGTTAAATATTCTTTAACATGTTAAATAATTTAACATATACATTGCCAACTGATTCTAGTTGACATTGCTGAGAGCTGCTTATTCTCTCTTACTCTGTGCTGCATACCACAGTATTGTAAATAGCAATATGCTCTATTGGATAAACTTTGCAGTGACACCAATATAATGTTACAAGCATTTTTTTTCCTGCATTATAAACCAGAAAAAAAAGTTTTCATAACGCTACATGTCGACTAACATAAACGCTGATACAGAAACAATACCGATATGTCTGCAAGAGGAAAATATCAACCAATAATATTGGCCTACTAAGACAGCATATTGGTCAGGCTCTTATTATTTTATTTTCTAGAAGTGAGCCCAATGAGAGAATCTATATGAATGACTACTCTGTTCATGGCTTCCACACTCTTCACTGTTAATCTGTCTAAAGTATAGACAGTTACGGAATAACTAAATCATATCAGACGGGGATCCATGAGACTACATCTTATCCAATATGAATCTGTGGCCTGACACCAAAAAGGTTGAGAAACACTGCAGTACATCACACTTCGGAGAGGAATATTGTACTTTATACTCCACTACATTTACACATTAGTGCACCTGTAACAATAAATAAACATATGATACATACTATTACATAACTGTTATACATATTGCTAGACTTACTTACTAGCTTTATAGTGTGGTACTGCTACTTGTACCCAAGTAAAGGTCTCTCAACACTTCTTCCACCACAGATAATATGCAACATTTATATCACATACAAAGAAACTGATGAGAAAATACTGACAGGTGTTTTAATGGAAAATGAAGTTAAGAAATATCAATAACTCAACACCATCTTCTATCTTATAGAGGATGTTGTGCTCTGTCTGCAGGTTGGGAAAATGTTTAATGGCTAAACTGCCCACTTACTCTGTCCAACTGTAACTCAAGCCCCTGTCAAGACATTCACTATAGCAATTACTGGTATTGAACAGCTTTCAATCAGCCCTTAATTCACGCCTTCAACTTCCAATCAATGTATACATTACAGTGAAATTACACAGTAATAATCAGTGCGACTAATCAATAAACTACTGGGCAATAAAGCTAGAGAGACAGAGTTGATAGGTCTTTGTACAAAGCTAGTGTGCCCTCCAGTGGCGTAAAAAGGCAACTTAACTATTAAAATGTAAAATGTACAAATTTATTCCAGCATTCCAATGAACCAATGAATCTTACAGACAAATAATCACATCCAGGTGTCGAGATGTAAGCCAGGATGTGTTTGCTGTGTGTGTGTATTGCCTGGGACGTCAGTGCTAGAACTGGGAGGGGAAGAGAGGAAAGCTGAACGATTAGAGTCGTGTTTTAAGAAGGGGCCAGGAATGGTTCACAGGAGTTGGCAGTGTGAGTAATGGTAGCAGAGTCCTATACCGGGGCTTTCATGAGGTACTCACTCCTCCACCCTCCACCCTCCACCCTCCTCTGCAGCACTAAATGCTATAGATCATATATTTCAGCACTGCTACTACACTTACTGCCCTTCATCGTCTGATTGGTCCACATCATTAACTGCAAGATTAAAATGCTATTAAGAGGTGGCAAGGAGGGAGAAGATAACATAGATGCTTTGATAAGATTTATTTCTGCTCACTTGACTCGGCTATATCTTCTTTATCTTTATCAACGATCAGGCTTAACAGTTTTTTCTTTCAACCGAAGACAGTGAAGACAGTGAATGGGTTCAAAGCGCAGGGTCTTTTGGTTTAAATACAGTGATATGACTACGTTCTGTGCTGGATGTACATTTTTAATTACTTATGATGCTGGTAACAATTACTATGTGTATACTAAATTATGGATTATCTGAGACATAGATATTCTTATGAATTCATATAGATAAAAATTACTAAGATAAAACTGTTGCAGGGTTTTAAAACCAAGCCAACTGAATGTTATCAGTGGACTTATTCTACCGATTCCAGATGATGAAAGATATGGGTATTTACCATTTATGGAGAGGGGTAACAAAGAGATGCTACTGAGCTGCATTATGTGAATTGTAGTATCCAGCATTTTTGGAGATAAAGCCATATCAGGGAATAAACGGATAACTTATGCCTTGTGGCATCCAGTTTTAGAATTAGTTGGGGTTCTTTTTTTTAAACTATGACTCTTGAAGGAATACTGCAGCCTGGACACATATGCACATTTAGACCACACAAACACATATACATAGGCATACACACACGCTGACAGTGCCCTCTGCAGGGGAAACAGGAAAATGTCACGGTGAGCAGTAGTTTACACACACGCTCAATTTGACTGCAGTGCAACTATAAACTGCAAACTGTATGTTTCCTGAACATTTCAGTCAATAATAACAGAGACAAAGGTCAGACAGGAGAATACAATTTAACAGTATAAATTCAATAATTGACCCTTTTATAGAAGTAACATCACCAGTACCGGGCAAACAATTTGCACAACTTGAAGAAGTATGATGTTTATTACTTTTATTTACTTTGTTATACACAGACGTTCCTATGGAAGGTTGACAAAACTCAAATGTAAAAATTTCAATATCCCTACTTGTCAAATACTTTATCGGCATTATATAATTTAAATACACACAATGTAGAACTAGTAAATTAATTTAAACCTGGTGAAGGAAGAAAGCAAAGATAAGCATGCAGATATTTTATTTACAAGTAGTCATATTTAAATGTGCAAAGGATGACCCTCACCATTTTACTTCAACATATTGTGACTTCTGTATAAAACCCCCTGTAGTATAAATACAACACCTAATATTTAATTAAATCTTAACCAAAACCTAAAAAAGTGTTTTCTTCATTGATCCTCTGAGGCAGTGTTACCCTGGTTGCCACATTAAGCAAGATAATATTAACACTGATTTACAGACTGAGGTGAGACGTTGACAGCAAAAGGCACTAATAAAGAACCATTTTATTTTGATTGTGGATTGGACTTTATTTTACATCTTACAGTATAATAGAGAATCGATATCAGTGTGAAATGAGCATTGTTGGAGCATGTAGTGAGACTCAGCACATCAAACAGAGAAAATTACCCATTAGACACTTTAAGCTTTAGGCAGCTTATTGTTTATGAGCAGAGAAAATCCAGGTGAGTAAAACACGCAAATGCAATAACAGTGATAAAGAACACCCAACAAAATAAATGTACAACTTCTGATTCCATTGTTTGATGGAACTTGTTAAAGCTGGTTATAAAAAGGACACTATTTATATATATATTCTTTTTATTAAAACAATAAACATCCAAAGTGTTAAAGAGAGAAATACAAGCACAATAACAGTTAGGCAACTGGAACGTTTCAGTATGAACTCAACAGTGCTGTGCAAGATAAGGTTGTCGGTGCATTTTAACATTGTGAATTATAAAATTCAAAATATAAAAAAAAAAAAAAATCAAATACATCTCAATTGTGAGGGTGAGGAAGCCAAAGTTACAGTCAGTGTGAGAGCGATGACACAAAAGAAAATACACCACTGCACACTGCTGCTGCGGCTGCTATTTGAGACATTTTGTCCTTTATCGATCAGAATACACACCATTATAATGACCAACCCAAATTCTACAAAAACCATAGAGTAAAACTACTTAAGCTGAAATACAGCCAGAAATCATTTCAAAACATCCCATCCATTCATGGGACAAATTAGCTCTACAGACATTGAGATAATAGTACTAGAAGAATTACATGTTTTGCTTTTATAATGCAGAAGCTGGTTTAATGAAATGCCACCCACTCTTAACTTAAAAAGCTAATTTTCAAAACTGAGTTCTTAAAGTACACTTCCAAACATGTTGGAAACTGTATTCAATGTCGTTTTGGTTGTTTTAAATGGTCTAACAGAGGACTAAAATGTTTCACTGTTATACGTATATTCTGTCACCCAAACCACTCATTGGGTCTCATATGCAGTTATGAAACACTATTTTGAAAACATTTTGACTAATACTGTTATGATACATTTTTGAAATGATGGACAAAACAGATTGAAAGACTGCAATGTCCAGGAGTCCAAGGAGAGAAGGAAATGATAAATTAAAAATAAATATTTTGATGTTTTGATGTTCAGGGGTGTAGTTATTGTTGTTTTCTCCACAGATGTGATTATTTTCATCTCACATCCTTTTCCCCCAAATGTATTTCCAAAATAGTTATCTGGGTACAACCTAATAAATATCAGGTAAGAAAAACATCAAGGCTATCTTCAGGTATGCATGTGTGCATATATTTGTAATGAGAGGGTCTGTCAGTAATACATCAGACTGCATAATCACTGCAGTGCTCATGAAAAACTCTCAACAATTAATAACCAGTGAGACAAGCTGTTCCTTGTCTTGGAGTGACTGCTGATAATGATTTGTCAGCAAGTGTGCACTCATATTGATGTCTGAGCATATGAAGAGGGGAAGTGTTTTGAGTGGCCGTGGTTATGAAATACAGTCATGGCTGTGGCGTATAACTTTTTTTTTTTTTTTTTTTTTTTGGCAAACAGAAGCATGAAACACTCTGCTGACAGTCTGTTGTAGCGTTGTTTACCTCCTCTCTTCCTCCTCCCCTGCTTGATGCCTAACCATCAGAGAATGCACCAGAATACAATAACCAAAAATCGTTAAAATGTTAACATTGTTAACAAATAGTAATCATATTAAAAACTTTTAAAAAGAATAAAATCTGGAATCCTTCTCCTGTACAGCAACTGGCGATTGTTGATCCCCACCCCCCAGTTGGTTTTGGCAGTGGTCTAACACTTGTGCTTCATGGCAAGCTGTAGAAAAATTGGGGTGGGGGTTGTGGATAATACAGTGAGAATTTCAAATGACCCTATCAGCAAAATGTAACACATTCTGTATTCAATAAACTGCAATAACAAGCGCAGTGAGTGAAATTTAGAACTGCTCCACAAAAGTAGAAAAAGCAGTTAGGAAAGGGAAGATTTAGTATATAGGTGCTGGAAGGCAGCCAAGGTTCCTGGTGTTTTATATTCAGGCAATGACAAGGCAATTTCATTTATCTCATTAACAAGGGTTCTAATGGGCTTGTCTGGAGGCTCATTAGAGAGATGACCAGGGCCACCAATCTAATACACAAAGCTATGGGATACGGAGACGTGAAGATGGAAGATGCGCACGCGCACACGCACACGCACACACGCACACACACACACACACACACACACACACACACACACACACACACACACACACAGGAATATGTTGCTGTAGGATGAGGAAAACTGAATTCCACAGACAGAACAAGTGGGGGCAGTAGAGCATCATGCAGAAATGAGGGGTTTTGAGTAAAACTGAGCAGTGCAGCTAAATCGGCTCGGAAATGAGATTCCAGGAGTCAACTAAGAGGAAAAAAAGAGTCAAGGTGACCCTCTCACAGTATGACAGTTGGCTATAATTTGAAGACACATGCAGATCACTTGGAAGTAGGGAAACTCACATCCTTCACAATACAGCCTGTAACCAATCATCAAAAGTCACCCTCATACAGAAATGAAACTGATAAAAAGCAAAGAGGCAACCAACTGCCTTTAAAAGAGGGCTTGAGACATGCGACATTATGATGAGTCTTGATAATAACGTGTAAGACAAATGACAAGTTATGAAACGAATAATATAAAAGCTAATGGTAGCAAGCAAAATGAGAAATGCCTGCAAATGAGTGATTCTTCGTGGGGGTTCTACAGTCATTCTCTCCTGAAAACACCAGAGCCAAGGCATTTCTCGATGCTTATCACAGTTTTTGTTATCATCACTGTGGGGAAGCTCATCTGTGAGTGGTGAGAGGGCCATGCAAGGCTCTTTGAAATGTCTTTCAATTATCCCACCATCACTAGTATGCATCTTAGCTCTTAGTGCGCTGATAGACATGTGCCATCTAACAGTCTACTAACCCTAATTTTACACAAGAACCCAAGTTGCAAACCCAGGCATGTGTGATATACTGTGTGCTATTAAAAAGACAGTTATGATGATCATAATCAGGTGCGCTCGTAACAAAGAAATCGATTTTTCTTGTGTTTCGCAGTAAAAAAAAAAATCATATTATGCTAATAGTCTCATTAAACAGCATGCAATTAGTTTTCCTGACAAACAACAGATATGGGATAAATGGAGGATGAGGGAACACCCCATAGAGAACTACAAAAGAGTAAATGAGGGAAGAAGAAAAAAAGCGATTATCTTCACTGAGCAGAGAGCACCACGGCTAAGAGGCTGGAGCTACAATGAAGCAACTCTTACAAATATCCTCAGGTTTAAGTAAAATGTTTGATCTTTTGGCTGCACCAATAATGACTTTAAAACCATGACTAGATATTCTATAACAAGAGGTGGGACTCGAAGTCAGAATGTCAACGGCACTGTATTAAAATGTATACACTAAACCCACCCGGAGGTTATGCGCTGTAATATATCTTGCTAACATATTGCCTCACCTTGTGTGCAGTGACAGCGAACTGTTCGGCACTGTTCATCATGTCTGCAGTCCTCTCTTCGGCTCGACCTAATCGCTCGCCGCGCTCATTCAGAGCCTGGCTGGCCTTCTGTACAGCACTCGTCACACTGTCTGCAGCTGAGTGTAGAATACTGTTACCTGCAGATAAAGCAGGGAGTGAAGAAGCGAGGCAGAGCAAAGAGAAGCAGAGAAGAGAAGTAAAGTGGGACACAGAGAGAGGAGAGAAAAGACAAAAGGGGAAATAAATTGTGATCTTTTGGTGGACAACAGAGTGTAGGAGACTAGCTGTGACAAATGAACCTGTAACATTAGATGGGTGTAGTTTAATCAGTGACCCTGCGCGTTAGTGTTAATGGTGGATGACAAAATCATGAAAAAGTAAATGGCCTCCATCAGGTGCATCGTGGGAAGCTGGATAATGAGTTTTCTTCAAAGCTGATTTACTTCAAGGTAAGATCAAGTGAAATTAACCTTTTCAAACTTCAAAAGTATGCAACAGCAACAAATTTAAGTTCAACAACCGTTTTAATGTCTCTTTTTAAAGGAGGCATGTCATTCCTGGTGACATTCAGCGCTACTTTTCTTCAGTTTTGAACTTGTGCTGCGAGCTCTGTGATTACTCTCTACTGAACTATAGCATAATAAAGAGAGGATATGTGCTTGGCTGTATGGGCAGCCCTGGAGACCCAGTAGTGGATACAAGACAGAGAACACATCTTCCGATAGCCGTGGCAGCCCTACGGATGTTTCCTCTGACAAGCCATTAATCTAAAGCACATTGGGAGTGCTGCTGTTCTGCACTACGCTAGCAACCAGACTAGTGGCAGCATTTTTCCTGCTGTCTTCTCTTTGTCAGCAATACAGTTGCATTGTTCCAGTGGGGTATAATCATTAGTCACTTTATGTAGATGTATCTGATGGCAGCATGCCAGTTTGGGGGAAAAAATCTGTATTGTTTTTGTTGTCGCCTGTTTTCCTTTTCTTTGGTTGCCCAAAAAGAGTCAAAGGATGCTCTCAGTCTGTGGTGGCAAGATCCTGACAAGTCATTTTAATTACAACACCAGAGTGGCACCACAGGCTGCACAAGGTGAAAAAAAGACAAATTAAGGAGGACTAGGAGCACAGAATTTTGCATTATGCGATATACATTTCTGGGGTATACAATTACAAAGCATACTATTAAATTATACTAAATAATCCACAACTTCACTGTCTACTCCTGTGCCTAACTTTAAAATGTGGGCAAATGAACAATAAAGAAAAACACACCAAACACCCAGAGAAAAGATAAGCTAGATTAAATTGTCCAAGGTCTATATCTTCAGAAATACAGTAAATGAGTTTGAGGGGAAGAAACAGGCCGAGCAAAGCTTGAAGGTACTAACTGTATTAAGGCTTGACAAGCTTGATTCTATCTACTCCCGCAGGAAACTGCAATATAGTGAGTGTATGTCTTGAGGCTTTAAGGCAGGTAGGCTGAGTGACAGATAATTGGGACAGTTCTACTGCAGTGGGTTATATGACAGCCCAAAAGCAGACGGCGAGGCCAGCTGGTGTTCCTTCAAAAGAAGTTAACTTGATAGATTCAAAGCAGTTTGTGTAAAGACACGCCCGGGGACACACACAGATGGATGTATAGATGTTCATACCCACACCTACGCACACAAAAGGAAATGGAAACACATGCGTAAACACAAGACCTTCCTTCAGTCAAGTTTTCCAGAGATTACAGTAAATGAACCACAGACTGCAGGCCACATTGCACATGACAAACACATCTGGACCAGCGATGAAATAAGCTTCATACCTGTCCTGGGACTCCTTTTTTCATTTGGTCAAGTTTCAATATTAGAATGTGTCTGTTTGCTAATGGCTACAGGGTTCCTAGTTAAGAAAGTAAAGTTTATGTGCAATTCTTATACACTGCAAAAGTAGATTCTGGTTTACAACAAAAAGAGCTACAGACACATTTCTGCTGCTGCTACTGCTTCTATTTGGGAAAAAAAAAAAAAAAAAACCTTCTTTGAGGAGCTTCACTATAAAGGATAAGACCTTTTCACCTTCAGACAGATTCCTCTTAATCCTCTCCTTCTGCGGAAGAACCGGGGGAGTAATACTCCCATCATCCTCAATATAACCCCCACCCTTAAAACCCCTCCACACCATGCACTCAGACAACATCGCCCTTTATTTGTCTGCACACGATTTTCCTTTTCTCTGGTGCCTTTTTCTTTCTCCATTTTCAGAGATCAGTGGCAGGCTGCAGCGTGGGCTCCCCCAGTGGAGAATGTAATTACAGAGAAGGCAGGGTGGAGACATTCTGGAGAGGTTATGAAGGGGCCGCAGAATCAGGAGCTGAATGAAACGTGTAGGAGTAGATTATGTTATGTGATGCTATCGCTGTGATCTTAACCTAAAGTGGGAGCTGACCAGCCATCAAAGTTATCAGTGGGGATAACAGCGGCTCTTTTATCTTACTGAGGAGGTTCACTGGTATTAATAGTCGGTATTTTATTGACGCAAATGTTGCACTGGTAACTCTAAAAGAGGAGCTTTTTTTGTAAAGATTTTGTCAGCTTGCATTGTTGAAAATGACCCACAGTACAAGGCCAAACCTAGAACATCCATGACACGCCTCTCTCAACAATGCAGGAAGAATTTTGTTGCTATATCCCATAATATCATAATAAGCCAGGGTTTGTTAAACAATTGAGACAGAGCGAAAAGGAAAATTGTTTTCTGGCAATACAAATATTCCAGAAAATACAAACTATGAGAAAATATGAACATAACAAGGAAGGGGAAAGAGTCAAAGAAAGATACAGCTCTGCTGTAAGCTGTAGATTACAGACTGCACTGCGGTGGTGCTAAAGAAAATAAGCTGATGGTTATCAACAGGAGCATGTCAGATATACTCCACAAGACGCTGACAGCTAAGTCACGTTTACTCTCAGCATATGGGAATGATTAGATTGGATGGATCACTTCAAGAACAAAACACACCTACAAAAAAAGATCCATCAAACAAGGCATGCTACCGTGCCTTCAGTATTTTCATTCTGGCAACACACATGATCTCTGTGCTAGGATAATGCTGCGGGGTATAATATGTGTGGGTGTTTCAAGGGAGTGAGTGTCTTACGATAATTTCTTTTGAGTATATAGGGAGCACATACTTATCTGGACTTCAACAACTACCATCAAAAATTCTCCTTATTATCCAGAAATTACCAGAGGGCTTTAGGTTGCGATTATTCATGCAAAGAAACATATGAAACACTCTGTCAATGATTTCTGTAAGTAATCCCAAACCTATTCATAGCTGTACCTACATATTCAGAGCCTCTTGACACTGAAGTACCCAGTAATTGCTGTTATTTTTAACCTGGGTTTATAATGAGACAAAAAATATTAAAAACCTCTCATCACCTATTTTACTGTAGATGTATGTACTCGCAAATTCATAAAGAGGACATACAACATGAATACATAATTACGTCAAATGTGGCTTTCTGAATGTGTTAAACATTATTAAAATGTTTGCAACCTAATTCCACAAATCCCTTTTCCTTCTTCTAGAATTTATCACTGAGTAGAAGACCGGCAGCCAAAAAAGAAAACAAGGAAGTGCCTGAGGAAGGCTACAACAATATCAAATATGTTTCCGTATTATAACTGCAATTCTGTGATAAATTCCACCCTAACCACAACTGCATTTATAAATTGAGTGTTACTGTGATAAAATAATTTATTTTCAAATTCCACACATAATACACACTCTGCGTGTGTGACAGCAGCACTTCCTGAGAAAGGGCTGTATAAAGCTTTAAAGTTAATAGGTAAATCATTTAAACACAATAAACTAGCATGAAGGCTGGAAACAAGAAAAGCATCCCTCTTTAAATCCTTCTGTGGCCTGCTATTTTGTTTTCCTATGGAACAACAATAAACAGTACGAATAAAAAGAAAATCTTAGAAAAGTTAAGATGTTTTTCATGCTTCTCATTTATAGTTTATTTTTTAACTTTTGAAGTTACTTTATTTATAGTTCAAAGCTTCATATACATTGAAAACTAGCAAGGCAGGACAATTTCAAATGGATTATGCATAAAGGAATGAGAAAATGAGAAGAAGATTCAACAAGAAATGTCTAATGTTATTGACCTCATAGGGGCCTAAAGACACAGTTATGCAGCTCCTGCTGCAAGATAAACTCCTGTTGCGGTTTAATTAATGCAAATCTTGACATTATCCGCAGCAGCAAAATGAAACTATAGCAGAGGTTTAACCAGAGAGGGCACCTCCCCCCCGGCACTCCTGACATACACATTATTTCTATACAGCCTTTAATCCAATCACTTTTCTCCACATTCTTCCTGCAGTTATTCCCTAAACAGTTAATTCTCTCTTTTAAAAGGTAACTCCCAAACCTTTTATACAGGGCAGTTCTCCCTTTTTCTATGTTCTTCCTAAATCATACAGCCATCTGTACATTTCTCTTTTTTTCTTGATACCACTCCCTCCATATGAAATATATACTGTATATAATATATAAACCCTACTATATATGCCCATCATTATAGCACAGTCTTTTGACCATCACAGTGTTGCTCCTCCATGTGCCCACCACCACTATCCAAGACCTCGACTTTCTTAGCATCAGCAGTCACAGACTGAATCTTCACTTGGAACCTATATAAACTCAACTGCACTATTACTTAATTGTTAATGTAAATTTGTGATCCAGTGCTGAGGTTTACGACAAATTATCTTATTATAAACAGTTAATTAAGTAATTAATTTGTATTATTGGGTTGGTCCCTCCTGCTTGATCTACATTTGACTCACTCTTAACATATGTGTGCATCCTACAGATATTCACATTTACTCTGGAGTGAGGTGGATGTGCCTGAATGACTCGGTCAACCCCTTTGTTAACTGCTCAGAGAAAAACAGGAGATCGTTCTGCCCTTGACATTTTTTCATGAAGGGAAGGTCTTGACCTTGCTTGCTCAGTCGGCCTTTAGTTTTAGTCACAGTGCCTTTTTAGACAGCATGACAAAGGACACCAATGAGGACAAACATGCACGTCCTGTTCTGAATGTACCACAGAGTCGTGCCGGCACTGACAGAAAAATAGCTACTAGGTATTTATGAACAGCCTATTCTCAGTGGCTTTAATCAGCAGATAAATGTCAGCATCACACAACGCATTAAACAGCCATAATTTCCCATCATTATAATCTTGACTAAGCTTAAATGTTAATTTGTGAAATGCTATACAGAAGTACAGAATACTGAGGAATACATTACGGAGGAAGGAATGTGTAGTCAACACTATTTAGTAGGGGATACAACTTTTTACATTTAGTCCAAGTAGTTTTGTATACTGAACCACCGGCTTACCTTGTCTTAGTAGATGACCGTGGTGTGCAACAAATTCTTTCCTCATTCTGTTCAAATAGACCTTGCAACGGAAAATGACTGAATCTACAGCTTGGTCTTCTGTGATGAGAAAATATCAAAAGTTAACTTTGATGTTCAAACATGATTGAGTTTTAAATTAGTCAGGACTGGTTACCGGTATTGGATTATTAGATCATGTGTTAAGTGTTGATGGGTTCAGGTCTTTATAAATGTCATGCAAAAAACAGTGAAACTGGTTACTGTTAAATTATTCATCCATCCAGTGATTGCAACCCTCACACCGAGCATTTAGCGTAAACTGCAGGCAGACAAGCTCATCTAATGCTGAGGGTTTAAAAGCACTTAAGGCTCATTTAACATTTCGTTTAGAAGCACGTCATGAATACATCCCAGTGAGATAGAAAAGCTCAGGTGGGAATTGGGGTATAACAGGGTATATAACAAGTGTGGCCAGCAGCTCAAGTCGGAACTGATAACAAGGCAATTAGCTGCTTTTATTTCTAGACCAATTACATGCGCTATCAAGGAATCAAAAACACATGCCTGTAAGTCTGCAGCATCAGTTCACCTACTGTTTCAGTTAGAAAACTCTTTTTAAAAAGGAATAAATTACTATGAGTCACAAGGCACATGGAAACGGAGTCCATAGTCCAAGATATTAAAAAGCATCTTTGCTGAATTGAATTTCAATCTAGAGTTTTATTTAAATCGTTTTGCATCAAAACATCAACTCCTCCAATAACTCCGATTACATTATGAGTGAGCCGCCATGATACAGCCTGATGATTAAATGTTAACAATATTACAACACAGATGCAATGCATGGATAACTGTCTGCAGTCTAGTATCATTTTAAACTCAAGAATGCCAGGACATCTTGAAGTAACCTTATCAGAATGTGGAAACAATGCAAATTAAGCTCAGGTAAAGAACAGAGCTGCTGGCATTCACAGACCACTGACTACACTGTCATCAATACACACATGGGGAAACCTAACAAAAACCCCAGAGATTTTTGACCTTGATTATGTGAAATAACTTTTGTGTTTTCTGGGGGCTGCCATCCGAGGGGATTCTGCAGATAGCGTCTCCCACAGTTATGGTCCCACACCTGAGCAGCGTCATGATTTTTGTTTTGCACTGGTGTGAGACTTAAACTGGAGTGGACAGAGTTTGGCAGCAGGCTGGCATCCCCTAGTTCCTCCTGTCACAATGTGTGTGGTGAGCCGTCAGTTTTTCCACGTATCAAACACAGCATCCCTACTTACCAAGAGCCAGGAGTTCATTATCAGATCATTTGGCCAGATAGACTTACAGGATGGTGTCAATAGATGGATCAATACTGTAGCTGTTTCTACAAAACCACAGGTTTGGCTCTTGAAAGTATATTTTAAATAGGACATGTTTCATATCAAGGTTTTATATCAAGATGTCTTAACTTCATCCTCGGTTTCTTAGATGCAGTTAAAACAATGTTACAGGGCTACTAAGTGTAATATTCATATCTACTGGAGGTGTGTGATTGATATGAAACACTTCACATTCCATAATCCATCCTACTCTAAAGACCCTCTCAGGGGCACTACTACCTTCCCACCTACACATACAGGGACTATAGTATGCACCAGGGTCAGTTTAACAAAGTTAAATATGGACATGGTTTTCAGAGTAGGAGGGAGGTCAAGGCAACATAACAGATTTTAGAAGAGAACAGGAATCATCAATGAGTGATAGTGTGTTCTCACACACAGAGTAAGAAAGAAAGACATCTGACAGTATATATATATATATATATATATATATATATATATATATATATATATATATATATATATATATAGTGTCTTTATGCATATATTGCATAGTCTCACTTCTCTGCAATATACTATATGTTTAATAATACTTCCCAAAGCTGCAGCTTTCCCCAGAAATCCCCTAAAGTCTTAATTCTCTTTTGAATCATGAATTACAGCTTTTACAAAGCACGTTACAAAGAAACTCTGGGTTGTCATTAGTCATTCTGTGACTTGCTCATAGTAAGATTTTAGAGCAACAGTTGGAAGTTTAAAAAAAATAATAATGTGTTTGTGGAAATTGATTCTTGTATATGTGGGGCACAGGGGCAACCTGCAGGAGGCCGGATGGGGATGTGTTTACATAAATAATACCATGAATAATACAACAGGTTGAATGGTGCTCAAAGATGAAGCTTGGGGGTAAACAGATCAATATCTGATCAAACCACTCAGGATGCCGCATTCTCTACTGGGTTTCACTGTAGAGGAAACCATCAACCAACACCAGAACTCTTCACCTCCTGGGTAATAAACACACAATTTGCAGCCAGGAAACGACCAATTATGCGGGTTTTATATTTCCATTTTACATGTCTAATACATTTGGGAATTGGTTATGCTTTGACTTGTTTGATCAGCCTGTCTTCACTTATTAGTTGGGAATGAAATTAATATTATTTTCAAAGGGAAAGGTTAGCTTTCAACTGACTTTCCACAGTCTCACAGATTTAATATCAGTGTCTATAACTAAGGGACCGTTCACAGCTCTTACTGTGATGTTCAATGTTATTATGAAGGGTGGAAACCAATTGAAAATAATGAGTCTCACGCTCCAGGCACACAATGAAATGTGTCAACATCACATAAATAAGGCAAACAATATTATTTAGTGTTGTATTGAGTATTTCTATGTGCTTTAAACCAGTTGATCTTTGTCAGATGTTTTGAGTCACAGCAGATGCATTTTGTTGGACATCCTCATTGACCTCACTTCAGTAGAGCGCTCAACAGATGCTGTGTACGAGGAATAAACATGCATTTTCATACACACCAGGTGCTGGTTGTCATCATACATAATTAGATTCAGACTGGCTTACAGCACAGTATGACAGCAGCGAGTCTGGCATTGCAGAGCCACTGTGCCATGAATAGCAATATTAACAAAGGACAGTTAGCAGTGTTTGTTTTTTAACCGTCTTACCCCCTAGCAGTTTAGACTGACAGTTGACGAACTCTGGTTTCCGTGCTAAGCTGTAGCGCTGGCAGGTGTGGTGAAGAATTTGGATGAAGGTGCACTTCTCTCCTGCAGAACCAGCAACCCACTGGTCAAAAGCATTTTCGAACATCAGGTCAAACTCTGGACAGTCCTTGGAGAGAATACCAATAAGAGCGAGACATGAGTGAGAGGTGAGTGCATGTAGTCAATCATCTGCAATTACTCATCTTCACACATAGATTTTCCCTGGCAATATTAACTAATTAAATAGCAATTAATAGTGTTTCAAGGGGACTAGAAATGACATACTTTGTTAGAGTCAATGCCGTTGACCTGCCGTAGCTGGTCAATTGTCCACTGTGACCTTTTTATGAAGGAAGAAGATCCTTGGAACTGCTTCACCTTAGTGATGGATAGAGAGGTTGGTTTCTTATTCGTCACTGTGGAAAAAATAACAATAAAACATACTAGATAAGATGGTTGCAACAATTATTAACCAACATTAATTCTAGAACATGACCTTGCTGTATAACTTGTAGCTTCTACGTACATATGCTGTAATAAGAGTTTGTAATAGGATAAATACACAATTCACGTCACAAAATGAGGAATATTAGAGTCAAGCAGGAGAAGTAAGAAGCTTACTTTTGTGGGCGGCAGGAAAAAAGGGATCCAATAACAATGAACATTTCACATTTGGAGCCAAAAGCAACAGAGACCACGATAACATTTCTTATGAGAAGACAGTCTAACCATGAACAGACAAACATGGATTTGGCTTGTATATTTAACCTGCCAAATTGTGTGCAATAATCTTATATACAGAATACTGTGCAATGACTTTCTGCTGTGTTCCAGCTACACAAAGACATTTTTTACATACTACTGGTTTGAACATAAACACTGTGTTATACTGTTCTTGTCAAAGTATAAATTGCTGAATATTTTTTTACACTGTGCTGGACACTCACAACACTCACTCTTGACAAAAGTGATGTATTTCTTTCCTCTGCACTGCTGACCAAATCTAAGCGGGTAACAAATTACCCTACAGACAAGCATGGAGGTATTGCCTTTTAAAGAACTCATAAGAGAAAAAATGGAAATAATGATAACATAATCCGACAAAGCATGACTTTGTGCTTCCATAACTGGTATTAGGTACTGCAGAGTTTTATCAGTTGGTGCAATAAAAGTCATGCTTGGTTGGTACATAACATTTGTACAATCCAGACCTCACTATAACTTATCACCTCCTGTCCAATGACATCATCATTTTGTCCTCAGCTTGGCCCCACTCGCCTCAGCATTACAGTACCACCACCACATGTTTACGGATCATCATGTGTCTGGACTGCTGGACTTTGTACTTCTCAGGGGTAAACATGCTCCAGAGTTGCTTTTTTAACCCCGGCAGCAAACCTCTGCTTCCGCTCTCTCACATTTGCCATTGTGTCATCTTGGAAAGAGGGAAGCGTTCGGGTCACTTTCGCTGCCGTTGCTCTTTACTCGGATTCTCAGCTCTCCTAGAACCTCTAGCATCCCTGCTGGTTGCTATGTTACATTTTGCCTTTGGTTCAGGTTTGCTCTGTGAAAGATCTACCACACCTTTCTCTGGGAATGATTTTAGGTAGGGCTGAATGTTACATCAGGTGATACATTCAGTAAGCAAACTCCCCAGAGAGGAGGTATGTTGGGATATGTTTTGTGTGTATCCATTTAGACAGCTGCAGTTAATAGTTGAGGTGACGGCCTGAGGTTGCAGGGTGGACCAGACAGAGGCAGACAGATACAATTCAGGAAGACCTGCTGTCATTTCTCTCTAATCTTTTCTTTGAGAATTCATTGTTATTCAGACAGCGACAACCATGACAAAAAGATGAAGTGATTGATTAGATCTGTCTTGGGTCACCCAGAAGGCGAATAGAAGCTCCAGAAACCAGAAAATTGCATAAAGACGACGACAGCTGGATGTAATGAACCAGTGTGTGGAAGGGTAGGAGTCTAAAAACTCAGGTCATCCAATTTGCTACAAGAATAATGTCTCTAGGGCGCCTGGTTAGCTCAGTGGGTAGAGCTGGCGACCCATGTACCGAGGCTGAGTCCTTGCTGCAGCGGCCCAGGGTTCGAATCTGACCTGCGGCCCTTTGCTGCGTGTCATCCCCTCTCTCTGTCCCCCTTTTCTGTCTGTCTATCTTCAGCTGTCTCAATCATAAAGACAATAAAAAAATACTCGATGGCACACTGAGGCGGATGATAGACTATAGCACAGAACCACCACTTCCCCCAAACTGAGAAATGGGGTTTTATTGCTCTCACTTGTTAAGTGCAGGACTGGTGGCTAAAAGACAAAATACTGTATAGTACAGCATGAATTCAACTAGAGACCATATATCTCTCTTAGAAACAAGCCTTGCCTCCATCTTATCCTACCAGACACATCCTATACAGTATGGGGCTCAACAAATCTGATGATCATTTTCACCTGGTCTATAAAATGTCACAAAAAAGCAAGAAATCACCATCAAAAGTCCCCAGAGGCTAGATTATCTTTTCAAATGGCTGGTTTTGTCAGACAAACGGTCCAAAACCCAGAGATATTGTTTTCATATTGCTACTAAACAGAGGAAAGCAGGAAGCGCTCAGATATGAGCAGCTATAACCAATGAATGTTTGGCATTTTTATATAATAAATCAGTTGTTTCAGCACAGCCATATGTGAAAGTGTGATCTGCCTTCCAATCAAACAGAATATGTCTGGCTGTACACCAGCTCAAACTATGTATGCTTATCACAAAATGTACTGACTCAAAGCAGAACAACCAGGGGAATGGAACATGCTGAAAATACAGTAACAGTAGTTTTACAATATAGTTTTACAGCATACTGTACAACATAACAGATGAGAAAAACTATTATGATTCTGTATGAGAGCGACCCCCGAGCCTGGCTTTGACTGACATATTTGTGCATTAGCTTATTCACTGTCATATCACAAGCTTTGTGGTGAGGCTGCTTTAAAAACAAATCACACTGACTCCAGGATTAGAAAAACTGTTGCATAATACTGGAGAAATACACACTAAATGATCCGTTGCACACATGAGGAGAAACATTTAGTGCATGCTCAGTCACAATGTGATGGCGCAGTTTGGCTATTTATCCATCTTATTTTTTTTTAAATATTACACTGAGACCTGACTACGGAAATGCATCAGTGAATATGTGAAAGAGACCTGTCATCTCAAGGCCATGGAGCTAAATTGTCAACACATCAACACCGAGGTCTTAATCAAACTGCCAGACACCTTTGAGCCTCTCAAATCAATTTCATATTCAGCTGTTGACTCCCACCTTGTCTGAGTTGCTCCCCTGCATATTAAACAATTACTGAAAGTTAGAAGAGCTGGCTTTATTGAAACAGTAATCAAGGGGAAGACTGTGAGAAAATGTATACTTAAGGCCTTCTATTAAAATGAAACCCCATGTTGCTCTCGTGATAAATTTAACCACTGAATGATGCTGTGAGTGTAGAGAGGAAAAAAAATTGAGAAGTCATTCTCAAACAAAATATTGACAGAGGCAAACTGGGATATAACTGATGATAAAATCATAGAAGGAAGTAAGGTATCGGTTTTGCATCATCAGGCTTGTTGACATTATAAATCATTTTATGAGAGAGCTTCTCTTTTAGATTGTATCTTGTAACACTGTTCATCTAAACTACTATCAGACAAGACAACAACACCCCGACCACCACTCTTGTGATATATGTATCATTTTAATATGAGTATATGTCTGTCAATTTGTGTGTTGAGCTTGAGATTCGCAAGCCAAAGTGCGATCTGAAGACACATTTTCCCTTTCTGTACATGAACTGGATCAAATATGAAACTAATGTAACACGCTTCCCTGACATGCTTCACTCAAAACAAACATAATAATCTCACCCTGAACACAATGTTACACCACAATAAACTTTATGAGTATGAGCAAACACCACTTGGCTACACGGTCCGTACATCTAGAAACAAGGAAGGACTACAACTACAGCACTGAGAGGCTGCCAAAGCCATTGTTTCCATGTGGGCTGTCAAAGGAAGGCCATGCTGGGGTTCCTGTCCTGCTCCTTTCTCATGCTCTGATGGTGACATGCTCTCACTTCCTCCAGTGGATCAGTCCCTTGTTGTGCTTGGCTATGCGCGAGTGCTGCGGCCTGAAGGGAAACTCATACTGTACCATTCACAGACTGTGAACATCACAGAGGAAACGTTCTCAGGATCAGTTTTCCCTCAAGGAAATATTATCATAGCTGTGGCTGTTAAGAGAGAAATGTGAGCACAAGGAGGAGTTGTACAAAAGCAGTAATGACAAGAATGACCATGTGAAAAGTGTGCAGGTCGTTGATTATGACTATGGCATACAAGCGTTTGTGGAAATGTTCAATACAGCACTATAAAAACAAACATAATCCAGTACAACCAATACCAAAGCAAGTATGGAACAAGTATGGAATTCATGCAGAAATAATGGAGCTTGGACCACCCATGTGGGCATAACATTAATAACTTCCTTTCCCTTATATAATACAACTTAATTCTCGTGTCAACACTGATGCTTCTCAAAAATCTCCTTCCACAAGCCAGAAATATGCTAAGCATCAGCATTTTGGGCTATCCGAGAGCAGATATGAAAATCTGAATCCACAGAATAACAAAAGATCACACCAGATAAGGAAGATAATGTGTAACTGTATAGTCAGAGAGGCTCCACGTTAGCTTTGGAATGACTGGTTGCTCCGAGATTCACCCACAAAGAAGAGCTGAAGTAACTAATTCACAAGATGTGGAGTGTGGAGAAGTGTGAAGAATTACAGTACACATGTACACACACATTAACACTATAGAAGTCAAGCCAAAAATATGCTGTCATTTTGGAAATCACAGAATTGCATTCAGTATATCTGGGTGGTCAGTGCTGCAGCTCTTTTCAGCTAGTTTGACAATGTCTGCCCACACCAAGTGCTGACTGGAAACACACTGTACTGCAAAACTAACAGTAACACTTTCATTTTACTTAAAACGACTATTTCCAAGGTCAAGAATGACATGTTTTAAGCCAGCCTGTCAATTATAATATAATAATATAACAGCTATGTTACTGTACACTATGATTGTCTGTTTGTACAGTAGTTACAGATGCTTCACAGGAGGAGTTCTAATTGTTGACGAATAATATATATATTTAAACAACTTTTTATACTGCTTAAAAATGTTGGGCGTGTTTGCTGCTTCTTAATACATGAAATTCACTTATTCCTGTGCCAAAAGATATTTAGAAAGAATTGTAGAATAGTGAATATGAAAACTTTACTGAACATTACATTGGCAATCTGCGATTGTGTTGCTCAACAGAATTTTATTACAATTTCTGATTACAG